GGCGATTGGCCGGCAAAGTGTTCTCAGTCTCCACAGAAGCTTGCGCTGCCTCAAGAGCGCATTGAGCGCATTGCTGTCGCCAGGCGGCCATGTCTCTAAGCAGGGCTCCTCCTCTAGCATGATGAGACGTGGCCAGTGAAATCAAAATACAACGAACGTAATTACCCTCCCACCCCCCCCCTGCCCCCCACACACCCCCCCCCCACCGCCCCCTACCCTCCACCCCTCTCAATACGCATTTGGACCCATGATCGATTAAAAGCGCGTAGGGTACTACTACTACTACTACTACTATTACTACTACTACTACTACTGCTACTACTACTGTTAACTACTACGACGACAGAAAGCCAGAAATCACAGATTTAGAAATCGAAGAAGCCAAAAAGCCAAGAAGCCACAAAGCCAAAACGCCAAGAAGCCAAAAGCCAATAACCCAAGCAGCCCACAGAAAGAAGGCAGAAGTCAAGTAAGTGATGAAAATGATGGAAAATGATGCAGATAATGAGAATGATGAAAAATATATATTAGAATAATAAAAATTGAGGAAATGATATAAACATGATGAATATGATTGTAAGATGATGCAAATGATATAAAAAAATATGAAAATGATAGAGAATGGAGAAAGATTAGGAAATGATAGAAAATAGTGGAGAAAATGAAAAATGATCAAAATGATGAAAATGATGAAAAATGAAGAAACATGCTGAAAATGATGAAAACTGATGCAGATGATGAAACATGATGAAAAATGCTGAAAATGAAGAAAGATGATGAAAAATGATGGAAAAGCCAAAATTCGAACATGCTCCAGGCCAGGGCCACCAAAAAAAAAGTCACCAATAAAACCGAAAGAAGGAAAAAAACGTCACTAAAACATATACCCTCCGTGGCAAATCCTGCGCATAGTACGCTGTGTTGACTCTCATGCCCGAAAGCGAGAAGCCCTGAGCCTCAACACTTCCGCCTTGCTGAAATTGGCGCAGACGTTGCTAGATGGCGTTGAACACTTGAACTGCTTGTATGTATTTCGGTTGAAGGAATGCTTACCCTGTACTGCCCAGACATGCATATGAGAGCTCGATTGTACCATGACACCAGAATCCAGCCCGTTCACCGATGTGAACCCATTCCTCAGCTGCCAGCAGTTGAGATTTCTCAATGTTTGCATCACCCTGGTACTTCCCAACATGCAACTTCTCATTATGGGATCTGCAAGAAAGGACTCAGACTCAAGTTTTGAAGAATTATTTCTTTCACCCCGTTGAGCAGCATCATAAGCTCAGAATCCTGGCCTGAGCTCGTGGATGAATCATCCTAACTCTCACAAATGAGCAGCGTTTTTTGGTGGGTAAACCCAGTTAGAATATATTCCCTGTATAAAATACTATACCCCAAAAGGAGGATAGAATCTTACTCTACAATGGGTACCATAGTATCCCCAAACAAAATACTACTCAAATGTTTTCCTGAAAGTGGTTTTTATGGTTTATGGTTTAGGGATATATAGGGTATATAAGTTACATAAGAGCTATATATATATATATGGATACCTGGGGTTTTCGACAAAGTATAACTCTACTGCGTGTCGTGTTGCGTTTTGCTTGCCCTTGCTCCAATCCTTTTTTGCTGTGACAGTCGTTGCGCTGTGTTGGCTATTATGCGCTTATGCTTGCAGCGGCCCCAATCCACGCTACAGTATTGATATCACTGCAAAGCAATAATGCCTCATGTGCCATTCCAGGTTCTGGTAGCAGAAGCTTGACATGGCCACGGCAGCAGCATCGAGCTCCATACCGTCGTCTAGCTCAAACCCGCCAATTGGCTCGAAGGTCAGCTCCAGCTTTCCAAAGCCTGTCAGGTTGGCGCTTGAATGTCAGGGATGAAGACTTGAGACATGTGCGCTTCTCATGGGGTTTTATGGCTGAGGCTTCAGGTGTCCCCGAAAGCCTCTGAGTAGAACATTTTGAGAGTTCAAAAGCAAGCGGTAGCCGACGAAGTCGCGGATTTTCAGCAGGTGCCGGAGCTTTCGCCGAACCACGCCCAGCAGCACTGGACCCAGCTTTGAGCGGTCTGCCTCCACCAAGAACTTGCCTTCTGGGTCAGAGAGCAGCGGGCTTTGGCTACATAAAGCTTTGTAGGACTTAGAGATTAGAAGGTGGGGTTTTGGGCTTTTTGGTCTAGGATATGGGGTTTGAAAAGTTGGGGTAAGGATCGGGGATCTTTGGCTTGGCAAATATGGTAGTTTCCCAAAGGGGACCCCAATATAGACCCCCAAAATACTACAATCCTTATTATTGGAACCCCCAAAAAGGTACCCCTAATTTTGGGAAACCCCCATATCAGATTTAGGAGGAGATTTGGCCTTCACCCGGGGGCTCAACCAGCGACCTGGTGTACAAGCAAACCTCCAAGACCTTGGCCATGGTTGCGAACACGATACCACTATGGGCTATTAGACCCTAAAATTCCCTATTAGGACCCTGTTAAGGGTAGATTAAGGTCTAATAGCCCGTAGTGGTATGGTTTTGGGTCTAGGACTCTGATGAAAGACTTGAAGTAAGCCGAGAGTGAACATCCCACATGCTGCTGCTCAGGATGTTCAGAGCCTCCGTATTCCGCTTCGGAACTGTTGCAGGCTGCGGTGATTTATAAAATGTCTCAGTTTTCCGGGTTTCGCATAAACATCGATCAGGACTACAGAGTCCTGTCTTCACATGCTGGAGCCGACTTTCAAATAGAAGGGATTGCATCTTTGTTTTCCTTGTGGCGCAATGCATTCCTTATGCATTCCTTATAAACAGTGGCAACGTCTTTTCACAGAATAGTCCCGGAGACAGTGGGGGTCTTGATGAAGATGTAGGAGGAATCCTCAGAGAGCTCTCGGCAAAATCTTTCGACGGCACACCAGCCGCGTTCACTCCAGGAGTGCCGGCTAAAAAGTTTGGAGCTCGTCGCAGATTCCTGGCTCACCACAAAAGCGCGTGTCACTGCCTTTCCTTGTGCCCTCTTAACTGCTAACAGCAAGAGACCTCTGAAAGTTTATTCAATGACGACCCAGATGCGATGACTGGGCATAGCACGAAGAAAAATGCGCACCTGCTCAAAGGATGAGGGCATGGCCCCTAGCATTAGCACATATTAGAACGCATCTGGGATATGTTGCAGGCTTACATCTGGCAATTGCTAGTTGGGGTTTCATTGATGGCTGTAAGAAGGTCATAGTTATAGGTTACAAGAATAAGAATCAAACTTACAAACCATTCAAAAGCATGAACCCTTGCTGGTGTAAGGCTTCAGGGCTCCTCAAGGTGGAAGACAAAAAAAAGCTTTCTCATAAGTATGGACTCTTATTCAGGGGCCCTTGGTTTGGAGACCCACTGGCATCCTATGGGTTAAGGAAATCAGGCACAAAACCTCTTGCGCGTGGACCGATTCGCACGGCTGTGTGAGTAAGTCGGGTGGTTTGATGGTTGGCGTGCTTGAGAAAAGGCGGGATTCTTGAGATAGACAGAAGTTGCTAAAGTTGAGCCCGTCGACCCGGAGCAAGATTAAATCCCTGCAGTAAAGACAAGAACCCCAACACATATATGTATGTGTACATATATCTCTATGTATCTGCTCTTTGTCTATATTGACCCGATAAGCGTCCGTTTAAGATATTGCCCGGGATACCCCATGCCTGCCTCTCGATGTAGGCAGGGATGCTAGTGATGGCTTGCAGCAGACTACTACTCGTACCGTCACCGTGAAGGCTGGAGTACTCCTTCTGCTCGAGCTGGGGGCAAGAGAAGTAGTCGTACCACACCTGAGGAGGGCTATTGCCATGGTTCTCTGGGTTGTTGTGTCTTCCACTGTGGGACATTTGCCGTATGAAGATTTGGTATGTCTGCTGACTACAGGAGTAGGAGGATTACCCGCATCACCAGTGCTAGACGCATCGAGTTTCATAGATTGCGGGTTCTTGTCACAAAAAAAAAACACTTTTGCTGATGATTGTGCTTTTTGTGTCGCTCTATAGAATCAGACTTCAAGTGACCCAAATACCGTGCAGTAGGGGGGCCTGACTTGCAAAAACTCCAAAGGGGAGTACTTCAGACTGGGGCCCCCTCAAAAATGCTCACAACAGATTAAGATTACCCATAACTTTGATAAACCCCAATTCCAAGTAAGGACCCAAACACCAGCAGAGGGGATGACCGCAGTTTTGCGGTCGACCACGATCTGGCATCCGGGAAAACCTGGAATCCAAACTGATCAAGGTGAACAAATCGTGGATTTTGTGTATCTTGGCTTTTCTTTTTAGACGGGCCCGAAAACAGAATGAAAAAAACAAGTCTGCTATCCAGGATCCAAGAAACTGCGTGGCTGGGCACATCTGGAGGTATTCCGTGCACGTTCCTGAGGCTTTGTGCGTTGTTTTGTCTTACCTCCTTGGCCTTTGATGCCTAGAATGTTGGTTGGAATCCTGTCGCCACAGGGATGGAGGCTCGGTCTAGGGAGAAGGATGAAGGACTTAGGAGTTGTGCTCGTGCGCAGGTTTCCCAAAGTCAGGATCTTCGCATGCTGAAAGCTGAGGGACGGGTTCCAGGAGTTCCTCACTACCGTTGAGTCTTGCAGAAGCACGATGGGATACGCCCGGCACGGAAAGAAACAACAAATTGAGGGTTTGGGATAAGAAGTTTTTGCCTGGTGCACATTCACGTATGCCTCGACCACCACCTCACGACATTAATGCGGACGGCAGCCCACAAGAGCCAGCAAGGAGATCTTTCCGGCGTTCTACAGAACAGAAAACGACGAAGTCAACTTCTCTGCTCTGGGACCTTGCAAGTAATGAGGTCCCCCATGGCATTCCCAAATAAAATGATCTCGTCCATAAAGGCCCACAACAACAAGCAGTCATGAGACCCTGGTTCGTGTCTCTTACCTCAGGCTCATGCTCTCTGATCCATAGACCAAATGCTGAGGCAGCAGAAGCTGTTACGGCCGCAACACGACTCTGAAACCCTAAGTCCAACAATCCTCATGCCGAAAAAACGTAAAACGTCAAACCCCTGACCCCGGCGATCCATGGCACACAAAAATGGCCAAGACTCTGCATGATACGGCGTAAGGCACCTTGAAGCACCTGTTGCAGGAAGGTCTGCAACTGAGACTTTCGGTGGAAACTCCAGGCACAACATGCAATAGCATCACATCCGTCCCTTCAAAACATGATCACCCATCTTATCAAGAAAACCAGTGATAGGAATATCAAATGTGGTAGTAGTTGCAATGAGAAAAGCAATCATAATCATGTGAGAACGTTGCGGCAAAGGGGTAAACCTCAGTTTTTAGCAGAACTGTGCATTGTCGGAGTCATCGTGGAAGTCAGAACGATTATAGCATGTGGCGGTCGTCGTTGTCGCTGTCGTCGTCGTCGTCGTCGTCGGCGTCGGCGTCGGCGTCGGCGTCGGCGTCGTCGTCTTGTTGTGGTCTTTGTCGTCGTCCTCCTCCTCCGCCGCCATCACGTCGATGTCCTCGTCCTCGTCGTGGTTGTCCTACTCGTCGCTGTCGTCGTCCTCTTCCTCCTTGTCGTTGTCGTCGTTGTCGCCCTCTGTTGTCGTCGTTGGACCGTCCATGATAGTCCGTGGTCGTCTGTGGTCGTGCGCCTCGTCCATCGTCATCCGTGGTCCGTCGTCCTTCGTCGTCTTTCGTCATCGTCCGTCGTCGTGCGTCATCGTCCATCATCAGCCGTCGGCGTGCATCGTCCGTAGTCGCCATCGTCCGTCGTCCTCCGTCGTCGTGCTTCGTCAGTCGTCATCCACCATGGTCCCTTGTCGTCCATTATCGTCCCTCGCGGGTCATCGGTTGCAGTCTTCAGTCATGGGTTGGCAGTCATTGGTCGTCAATCGTTGGCTGCTGGTTGTTGTTGGTCTGCCGTGATCATCATCATCACCACCACCACCACCACCACCATCATCATCATCATCAATGGAGCCCTGTGTTTTGTGCCTGGTGCGTTTTGGGGCGCTGTAAACGGACTCAGTGTGTGGCGAATGCTCGCTTCGTGTGGGAGATGGGGCCCTGTGCTTGATGCGTTTTGCTCGAAACACACCCAGTTATGGCTGATGCTGGTTGAGTATCGGGGCTGGGCCGTGTGCTTCATGCTGTTTGGAGCGCCTTAAACCGCACCCAGTTCGTGGCTGGATGGGGCAGGGCATGGGATCCTGTGCTGGATGCTTTTTCCCTGCCTTAAAACTCACCTAGTCCGCGGCTGATGCCGTCAAGTACGGGGGATGGGGCCCTGTGCTTGATGTGTTTGAAGAGCGTCTTAAAACGCACCCAGTTTGTAGCTGATGCTGGTCAAGCAGGGTGCAATTCTGATTCTGATGAATGCCTTGCTCCAGATCTGCACATGCGTTTTGCTAGGGCCTGAAGATGCACTCAGGATTTGTCCGGTGAACATTTCCGGAACTGGGGCTGCAAATGTTCATGATTGCCTTCTTCCAAGTCTGCATGAGCATTTCGCCAGGCTTCAAAATGCTCTGAAGATTTGCCTGGTGAGCATTAGCGCTGGGGCGGCAGGTTCTGATGAATGCCTTTTTCCAAGTCTGCCAAGGCCTTAAAGCCAACTCAAGATTTGTCTGCTCAGTGCAAGCTGAAATGGGGCATGAGCTTTTGATGAGCACTGCAACCTCAATCATATCCATCAGAATCGGCGATCGAAAGAATCGAGATTCGAATCTCATCGATTTTGTATCGATCGTCCGCTTCACGTGAGCCGTCGCAATCGATCGAATCGAGCTCGCCCAGCCTAGAGGAGTAGGAGTAGGAGCCGCCGACGCCGCCGCCGCCGGAGGAGGAGGAGGAGTAGTAGTAGTAGTAGCAGTAGCAGTAGTAGCAGTCGTAGCAGTGGCCTAGCAGCAGCAGCAGCAGCAGCAGCAGCTGCTGCTGCTGCTGCTGCTGCTGCTGCTGCTGTTGTTCATCTTTCCGCCCTTCTTCTTGTTGTTGCTGCTGCGCTGTAGTAAGAGCATATGAGGTACTTCTCATCCTAGAAACTGAAACGCATGCACAGTGCCCGCCTGCAACTGCTTGAAGTCTGGATCTGGATGGCCAGCACCCACCCACTGGTGCGACACGAACAAGCCATTTCCTCTGCTTTCGTGGAACTCGACGAGAACATCACGAGCCCGCAGGACTTCGTGTGGTTGGATGTCCGTCATTTGCAGAAGATCTTCCAGTGGCACAGTGTACATTGGGAAGTTCATTGGAGCGTTCTCGCCCGTACCTCCGGGTTTGGCTTGCACAAACGTAGATTGCAGAAATGACGAAATCGCAGGCTTCAAGTCGACCCCTGGACCACCTATCCCCAGAGCTCCTAGCATGCTCCGCCTAGCTGTCTTACTGGCCTAAACGTCTTACAGCTACCTTCAGCATCCGAACGCCGCAGCTCCCTGGCATGCCGCTCCAGGGGGGTTAGGCGTCGGCAGTGCGCGTGGCACGCCATGGCACGCTGGCTCTGCTTAATGCCCAGAAAACAGACGTCTACATCGACGCCATAAATCAAACCTATGGCTCACAGTACCCTATGTGAGGCAAAGTTCATGAATTTTTGGAACACCGGCATAGAGCTCCTCGCCACTGGAAGCTGCAGAGCGCATGATCACTCTGGGGGTTGGTAGGCTCAAGCACAGTTCAAATTAAGGCCCTTTCCTCAATGTGACTTACTTGGGGTGCGTCAGAGAGCTTCAAACCTGAAACTTGGTCGGTCGTCAGGCCAAGTTAATGCAATATCCCTGGTGTTACTTGGTGGGTCATGGGGACTTAGTTAGTAGGTTAATACCTCCTATAAGCCATATAATAACCCCAACTATCCCCATTACTAAGCTACTTACTACGTCCCCATGACCCTAAACCCTAAACCTCGAAACCCTAAACCCAAAACCCTACCTACTATTAACCTACTTACTAAATCCCCATGACCCTCCAAGTAGTATTGGCCCTTGCGGTACAGGCCTGGGGCATGGGGGTTCAGGTTGGACCAAGGTAGGGATCAATAGCGCAACATTCAGATAAACAGTGTCCCAGCATCCCCCAGAATAACTCCTACAATAATAGTCCCCTATATAACCCCTCTTATCACCAGGAGTTTCCCCCTTTATACAACCAGGAGTTTGGATGAAGGCTCACTTGAGGGGGAGCAATCAGGCAAACTTGAAGCCGCGTGTTCATCTGTTCTACTTCTACCACTCCTGCAGGTGCTCTTGCAAGAGCGCGCGTCTATCATTTCCATGCTGCTACCACTAATTACATAAGGAAACCTGGACAGATCTTTGGAAAAACAAGGCCTGAGCGCATGGTTCTGAAATCTGCTGTAAACTCCAAAACGACTACCAGCCCCCATCCTAACCTGAATGCCTGAGCGTCTTGTCTTATATCCCAGTGCATCCACACGCTTCAGTCATGTCCCAACTTTTCTGCGTTGCAACGCTAGACTGAGCACCAGATGATCCCCCAAACAGGGATCTCCAACCACAACCTGATGGCTTTGGGCTGAAGCTTTGGGGCCTGCCCCTTAGGGGTCCAGTTGAAGGCTCCAATAGTGTTGGGTGTTGGGATCTCATTGCAGGCTCGAGGCGCAAAGGATTAAGGATTCCGAGTTCTGACATTGACAGAAAAGGTTTGGGAGTCAAAACGTCTGGGTTCCGCAGATCAACCTCACAAGAATCTTGGTGCCCTCCCTTTGATCTACCACTCAAGATCCCATGCTTTGATATGTACTACACTTGGCAAGGAGCTGAAATTCAGGGGCATACCCCAAAACGGATGCTCAGCGCGCCTATGGATTGAGGTCTTGCCAGACCCCCGCCACCCCCGCCGCCAATGGAAACTAACCAACACGTCAAGCATCAATCGCGTCAGAGCTCTTAGAGCCAAACCTTCGACAGCATCGAATGCGAAGCCCTTACCACGAGACCCTGAAGCTTAGCCTGAGAACCTGAGGAAACCCAGCACCCAAGGTATATAGCTCAAACACTGACGAGACCCCCAATCAGTCCCGGCCAAGGCACCCGCTGAGGGGAGTGTTTGGCCCGGTGTGTTAAAGGAACAGATATCCTTGAAGGCTCACTCAGTTCTTGGGGTGTTTGGATTTGGCGACTGGGTTGGTGAAATTCCAAATCAAAACAAGTTGGAGGGTAGCTGCACCACTTCTGGCGGCAGTCGGGGAACCTGCTTGCATTGCTTTTTGCCTACCCTTCTGGGCCAACTGTCCTTATTAAGCCATGCAAGCCTGGGATCATCCAGTCCAGAGATTGCACACCAAAAGAGCTTGTTTCTTTCGATGCTGTAGTCTGCGCAGTGTTCTCTAGGGGCAGGATGACCTAAACCTGCCCGTAAAGGGCAGGAAGTAACACTGCAGAAGTCTGAAGTGGTCTTCCAATGGGCCTGCACTAGCTGACAACAAACAAGCAGCCCTGAAATCCTGATCCCTGCGCCTCTCTTTGCCATGCAGCAGCTTCACTGAGTCCTAAACACTAATCCGTCACTCCAAGATCCCATTGGCGTCTGAGGACAACCTTGACGCTAACAATGCATGTCTACAGGGAGCCTTAACGTCAAGCATTAGGGGGGCATTTCGTTTTTGCACCCCCAAATTCTAGGTGCAATACTCAAGTTTGTACCTTGAAGAGGGCCAGGCCATCGAGAATACAATGTGATTTGAGTTTTGAGATCCTTCCCCCACCGGATGCCAAGATTCAGAGATCATCTTGTGGGACCTCGAGCAGCAACTACCTTGCTTCGTAGTGAGGTGGGCGCTTCTCGCTTCGGCAAAACCTTTTTAACCAAAAAGAAACGTATACGATTCAAGTGGTTAAGCCAGGTCATAAGCTTCAGAATATTTTAGCGCGGGATCAAGTTTCTGAAGCAAGGGCTTCGGGTTACAGTGCGGCTACAGGCACGCCATCTGCAACAGCCAATCACTTCTTCCAGTTTGAAGGGTGCTGTGAAAATGGACTACGAACTTGGAAGAAATGAGCGCATGCGCCATGATTGCAATGCCAAGGCCCAAGAACAGAAAAGGATGCCCTTCTTGTTTTCATAAGGAACCTAAGACCCCCCAAAAGGATCCAGAAGTAAAGACACCAGGCTGCAGCTTGGATCGCTGAAAGAGCTCCTGGGACGAGGCAGCGTCCAGGCGCTCGTAGCGTTTCCTTTGACTGCGTGACTGTTGGCCGCTAAGCTAAGACCCTTCAGAAGTTCAAGGCTTAGGTGTTACTCACCATGAATTACAACTCGTATGGAAAGCCTATTTCTTAAGTCTCCTGCAGTCTTCGGGAAATCCCTTCGGAGGCGACCCGGTCGAGGCATGGTGCAAGATGATTGACCCAGTGAAGGTCCAGGAACTGGAGGTGCTTGGTTAAGCTTATGGATTTCGAGTGCAAGGTGTCAGGGTTTGGGATATGGATGTCTACCTCTTCAGACACACCACTACGCTAATCTTACCGGTGCTCAAGGGAGAGCGGGGGCGTGGATCCCTACAAATAACCCCTATATTTACCCGTATAATGGTACCTATATTCACTCCCCCACCCTTACGCACCACTACACTAATGCCGCAGAACTTCGTGGAGGGGTGGAGGACGTAGATGGGGTCCTGGACCTGCAGCAGAGACGGTTGGGGCTCATGGCAATCACTCAGGTCTTGGAAGGTTTAGGGTGTAGGGCCTAGGGTTTAGGGGTCTAAGGCTGAGGGGAGTTCTCAGAGTAAGGGGATATATGGGAAATCTCAGGGACTTCTAGGTATCCACCCATATCCCGTACCTAAACACTAAATCCCATAGCTTCCTCATCTCTCCCGCAGTATGAGGAGAGAAGCCAACTATAGAACAGGATTTTCCTATGTTTCTGGGGTTCTGAGCTCCCTGGCGTGGGGTTGACTGTCAGGGACCCTGGAGTTAGGGATTACGCTATCCCAGACACTCTCCTGGATATAAGCCGAGTGGAAGCCTATTGTAACCAGCAACCCGGCCCCCAAAGCAGTGACGTGTAGCATGAAGGGCAAGCAGCCATGAAGGGGGGGCGGAGGGTTTAGGCTAAGTTAGATGCAACCCCACCCCAGAAGAGCGGTGTCACACAAACATAAGAGGGTCTGATATGCCCTGCTCCCCCAAGCCCTATAACCCCTAAACCCTAAACCCCAAACCCTAAACCCCTAAACCCTAAATCCCTTTGACCTTTAAATCCTAAGCCTTGTGCCCCCCACCTAAGGTAGACTCATGATTAATCAACCCCCTCCCCTTAATCCTATTACTAAGGCCTCAAAAGGGAAGGGGGTTTACTAATCATGGGTCTACATGAAGGGTAACACATGCCTTCGTTAGGTCGATGCCATCATTCCTGAGCTGCACCTGGCGAAAACAAAATAGTTGATGCTTTTAGATTTGGGTTTAGGGTTTAGGGTGTGGAAGTTTCCCTAAATATGAAAACCCCGATATATGGCCCAAAACGGTATAATCCATTCTTCTAGGGACAGCAGAATGGTGCCTCTAAGTTTGGGAAATCCAATGTAGGACAATGGCCGAATGGCTGTGCTATTAGGGAATGGGTTCTTTCAGCAATGGCCTATCCAACAGGCATGTCAAATGTCCTGGACAAGATCAAACCACAGGAGCGATCCATCTGATTCCAAGTTTTCCTGCAAGGAGCTCTTGGGGAATGACTGCTAAAGTGACTGGCTGCAGCAACGAATGCATTTAACGCAGCTCCTTCCCGCAAAGAACGACGGCTCACCACCACCCTGAGCTCAACCCAAAACCTTTGCAAACCTGCTAGAAGCCTCACAGCCTATCAACCCACCACGAATACCGTGGCTTGATCAGAATTCTACACCTACCCTAAACCCTAAACCCCACACCTCAAAATCGAAGTTCTGAAGTGAAGTCCTTGCCTTCTGGTGTTTGAAAGTGCTTGTAACCTCCATGGACGGCAGGAACCGCAAGAACATGGGCCGGGCATAGCCAGGGAGCTCCTGGGCGTAGGGCTGCAGGGCTATATCAGGGTTATACTAGGGCTTGTATTAGGGTTATGTTAGGTTAGGGTTATATTAGGGTTACATTAGGGTTACATTAGGGATATATTAGGGTTATGTTAAAGTTATATTGGGGTAATGGAAAACAAAATGGAAACTACTATAATGGGTTATACAGGGTTTAGGTTGGCTTACGTTTCTTTTCGGAGTCCCCTTGTAAGTCCGCTGTGGTTGCTGAACGCCGGAGTCTATACCACAATTCAGTAGGGCCCATATGAGTTATAGTCAATATTTCCTACACATAAAGGGCATGGGTTCCTTTTTAGGGAGTATGTGAGGGACTATACTAAACTACAAGAGGGACCTCTATGTCCTGTGTTAAGAGTCCCTTAGTAGAATAATATTGACAGCAGCTCATATGTATTAAACTGCCAGCAGGAACCGTATGTCCTGTCATCAGACATCTCGTAGCAGTACAACCGCTATCACTCGCATCGGCATTCTTCTGGGAATCCCCTGAAAAATGGACCCAAAAATTCAAAATCTCAAATTCCTTAAGCTAATCTTTCGTGACCCCCGTTGCAAACAGTAACAAGGAGCCTCCACTCCCTCGGTATCCCCTGCAATGCCCGGTGCCCCAAAAAAGTCGCCTTCTCGCAAAGCGCCTGTATCGCGTCCAGCTTTTCTCTGCTTTGCAGCTCCTGAAAATTCAGGACCCAGACGCACTACTATGGGGTCTCCCCGGTCATAAAACATCCTACTTTCAATAATAGTTTCCATGTTCTAGCCCATTTGATACTCCATAGTTGGGGGCAACATGTAGATAACCACAATATAAACCATGTAGCATCAGGCTTTTGGACGTAGTGACGATTGCAAGGATAATTATGTACATTACTATGGAAGATTGCGGTAAACTCATATGGGGACAGGCTAGAAAGGATTCTGTCAATACCTCCTCTCAAGCATCTTAAGCATGACAGTGTTAGGCAGTACTGTACTGCACCTAGATTAAGCAAGTAATCTACTTTCTGGTCATAGCAAGGGATGCTGGCTCCTTTTGGACGACTATCAAGAACAAAAAATGAAAAATGAACGTGCTTTCCGACAATGACCAAGCATGTTTCTGTAAACGAGTCTCCAATTTGAGCTTTCACCCTCTGCAATCCGCATACCCAACGTCCCTAAACAAATCCCATGATAACCCCCCTCTCCCCCCACCCAAAAAAGAAAGAAACATCCTTGAAATCTGCCCGCCTCTGGACCATTCAAGGCAGCCATGCAAGCACGACCGTCAGCTTCTCCTGGGACCTGGCACATGCTCACGGGGTGCATAGCTTCCTGAAGAGGATGGCGCATTGGGATTCTAGAAGTAAATATACTACTACGGCTCTTTCAAAAAAAATAGGTGGAATCTTCCTTAAGTGGCTCCAGCCTGCTAGTTCTAAAAGGAAAATACGATGCCCTTTCCGATCTCCATAGCGAAGCACTGTAAGCTAGAGATGTCAAGCGGTGCCAGGCTTCGGCATGGGGGCCCTGCAAGTGTTTAGGGCTGCAGGTTTCCGGTTGCTCTTTGGGAATCTTAAGTTTGGAGCTAGAACGTATCAAAGACCCTCACTGGATCATTCTTGGCACCGTGTTCAAAATGTCTTGTCACATGACCGAGCACGTAAGATGGTTCCAATAAATTGTGATCCAGTTTGAGGCTGGAGGCGAGAGCTTACACTGGCTTGAAGAACCCATGGAACTGCACAAGCCTCTTTTCAAGCCGGCATTGTCTTTGTAAGCCCATCTTACTGTTCCATTCGTGCATCGGAGAATGTACTGAAACCGTGAAATTCCACAGCACGCTTGGGTGGCCGAGCTGCAGCGGGCAACGTGAGCTGATTGCGGAGTCAATGCCCAGGGCTTAGGGCTCAGACTGTCAAGAGTGCCACTCTTGGGACTCCCGCAAACACTCCTTCGATGTGAAGACTGCTGCCCATCTCATAGCAGACTGACATCATCATTGTCGTCGGCATCATCAGCATCATCATCAAGGCCATGGGTACTGCTCCTTGACGTAAAATGAAGCTCCCTGGCATTTGACCATGTCTCCGGCATCGTGGTAAACTGCCAGCTGTCTTCAAAACCGTTCAAGGTACGAGCTTTGAATGCAAAGATTTGCTCCTGATGCTGCTGGCAGGCAACGCATTCTGGGGCCGTCGAGGAATCGCACCCAAAAAAGCACGGCGAACCTGTCGGCCGCTATCCCCGCTATCCCAAGATTTACTATTCACGAACCATCCCCAACCGTCGCAGAGCAGGGTCAGGTGTTGTTGAAGAGGATGTTGCTACACACTGCGCCTTGAGTAGAGCCACTATTGTGCGCAAAAGAGCCACCAGCCACGCAGAACTCATCTTTTGCAGGCCGGTGCAGCACACCATGCACAAATGCTCCAACGAGCAGACCTAGTAGTCAGTTCTGTGTACCGACAGCAGAACCCACAAAGAAGGTGAGGCTCCAGGAGTAAAGGCCGCAGACTTTCCTGACATAGCGGAACAGCATGGGCACCACAGGAGACCTCCAACAGCGAAGAGTGGATCGCTGCTGCTTCCTTGCACAGTCTGCACTTGCGATGTCCAGCCGTGTCCGATTGGGAGAGAAGCGCCAGAAGATTCTTTGAGGGGCCAAGAGGCGTCTGAGTTGGCTTCGGAAATCCTTACTCGCCGCGGGACATCAAAGACCGCCAAACGCTGCAGAACCCGGACTATAGGAAAAAGAAATGCCACTCACTCTGCTCACGAGAGTCTGTGTGTCCAGTACTCGTGGGTGACCGCGGCAAGCAGCGAGCCTGCGTGGAACAGTGACTTGAAACGAAAAAAAAAGCTGTATTTGTTTTTGTTACGTCTTCACCACTGGCTAGGGCCACAAGCACTGACATCTCGAACCCTCCAAATACAAACGAGGCAGCCCTAAAACCTGCAAACTGCACCAAGTCCAGCCTTGCCAATTGACAGGTACGTCCGCCTTCCTCAGCTCCTTCCTGGGCTTTTGTTCAGGTACAAGTTTAGTTATGTAAGGCTCATGCGTATGCACCAAATTATTAACAAAAATCACCCAGTGTAAACAATCATTTACCAAGTTCAAAGCTTCTCAGCTCGTCCCTGCTGAGTGATGGCCAGGCGGGTCAGTTCCACGAAAGCATTTTGCACCTGGGAAACATGAGTTTTGTTCGGCTCTTCGGAGGTTTCTGACTCTGTGGTCATGATCATAGCAGCCTTTTCAGATGGCCTGATTTTGCTGGGCAGCCGTGTTTCCTGACATCGTTGTGCCCCTCGAAATGGTATGAAATGGTATGCATGCCAGGCTTTCAAGGATCTGCCTGTGCAAGAAGACAACCCAACAGACCCCTAGTAGTTCACAGTGGTTCTTTGCCTTCAGCCGAAGGAAAACAAGCGCAGGCAAAAGAATAAGACCTTCCGCATTAAGCCCCCAAATTCCCCGCAGCTGTAGATCGCCTACTATGTGATCCTTGCATACTTCCCACATTATCCAATAAAAACGAGGGAATTCTTTGGCACCTGACAGCGTGCCAAAGGCTGCTTCTGGCTCAGCTGGACCAGGCGCTCCACCAGACCTATAGCTGATAGTCCAGAACCCTTCGTGACTCAAAGTAGCTTTTCTGTTAAGAACTATGGTATTCTCGTACACTAAGGTCATGCATAATACTATCAAACTTATCATAGAGACCACAGAAGGGGGAGGACCCCTAATCGTTGGAAATCCCCATGTTCTTCAACAGGAACCTAGAGACCCTGCTGAGTCTTGGTCGCAAGGGCAAGGCGTTCGGCAAGGCTCTTGGGCACGAAGTCCTCTTGGGAGCGGATGCGGTTCTGACGGTTTTGTTTGGGATTTGAAGGTTTCCGCGAATTGAGGTTTCCTGTTTGGGGGGTCTCTCTCATAAGGATCCTAATCATTCTCGTATCTGAAAAGTTTGACAAACGACAAAGTGATAGTTGGAAATATCCACTTGGAAAGTTACCTCTGACTGCAAACTTCAGATCTGGAACCCACGTCGAGCTATGAAGGATCATGCACTGGTCCTTGAGAGCAGCCTTTTGGAGGCTGCTGGCGGATCTCTGGCCAAGCACACCCAAGGCATTTTCGGCAGCCTCTGCTTCCACAGCCTCTGCACATGGTGCCCATCTGCTTAGGCTAAAATACTTGAAGGAATCTTCAGGGCTCCTAGGTCCTGGCTTGACGAAACTTGATGACGAACAGCTAAGACCAGATGAGGCATTGTTGGTTCCCACCGCGGCAGACACTTCCCACTGAAACCCCTGACCCTTGAAAACAAAGAGCAAAACCAAATCCTGCTTCGAACATGACCACCCTAGACGGTGGTTGCGCGGCATCTGGAGGTTCACCTCCTTCACCCAGGCAACCACGACTGCATTGAATCAACATCCAGGCAAACACAATGTCAGGCAGACTTCCTACGACCAGGCAACGACGAAGTCAGGCACGGTTTCAACAAGCAGGCAACCTTGAGGCTAGGAACGCTCCGTCAACAACCCAGGAACCGCAATTACCAGCACACTTCCAACAACCAGGCCGCCTTGACGATAGCTGCACTTCCAACAACCAAACAACACGAATAAGCTGGGCATTGCTGGGACACGAGTTGGGACACTCTGGGGATATGCTGCTGGGGTTGGGCAGCTGCAGGCTGGTCACCGCAGGTACACTCTCTGAGGTTTGGGCGCTGCAGGGACACAATCTGGGTTTGAGCACTGCAGGCTGGGTATGACCAGGCGAGGAGAACATCGACATGGGGCATAGTTTTCAACCCCACATCCAGGGTAAACCAAAACCTACTTCTGCCCGGAACCCCGAACCCAAGCTGCCAAAAACCGAAGCCCACGTCCCCAAGGGTACCTCTGCCAGACGCGTGAGGATGTCTGCCAAGTCCCAGGCGCACTCAAGGCACAACTCCACCAACCCAGACCTACAGCAGGTTGCAAGATAGAGATTTGGGCTTGGGTGTGGATTCAGTTTAGTCTTGAAGTTTTGCAGGTCTAGAGTGTAGCCTGATGATGTACCATGCGGAGATGTCTGAAGGACTGTAATAACAAAGGACTGTAACAATAGTAGCCACGCTACCACTAGAAGTGCACTGAAGAAGCGCATAAAATGGCCGAAACAAGTGCAGCACGAAGATGAAGAGTATCGATAGAATGCCCAAAAACACTGACGGCGATGATGTTGGAGAGCCACTTGGTAATGCGGATGGCTGTCGGTTGGCATGGGATCCCTTGTGAAAGGTAACATGGAAGATGCATTCTTAGGTCCGGCACTTTCACTTCTGAGTTTGACCATAGTCATACAAATCCTGCTTTTGAAGATCATCTGCACAGACACACACACTAGAGGGTGGCAACAAAAATAATGATCATGGGAGGAGTGAGCCTTTCCTCCATGCTTGCTGTCTTGGAAAACTTTGGTTGCTTTCGATGTTTGGTCTATGGGAAGACTTATGGAAGCATAACATGTACCGTCAGCCTTTACTGGTGGATGGAAAGGTCTCTTAAGGGTATGTATGGCGTATATACGAGGTCAACGGGGACACCCATTTAAACCAGCATCAGCAGCTATGTGAGGCTGAGCAGTTTGTCAGCTGTAGCAAGTGGAAGACACATTCACAGCAAAATGAGCAGTCATCACATTTTTTCCTGGAAATAGCAACCCAATGATCCTCTGCCGCAAGGTAGTTCTCAAAACCAGCGTCCCCCTAGGTAGCCTGACAACAAAAATCAAAGATCATGGTTGATGCTCCCACAAAGGAAACCCAAGAGCTTTGATTGAAAGAACATGATCCAAATCCCTGAAATCCTAAAATCCCCAAATTCTGAATTCCTCAAACCGAAATCCCTAAAAACCCGAAATGCTTCGCTTTCCAAGGGGCTTCGAGCTGGATGCTGCGGCAGAATCTTCTGAAGACTTCGGAGAGACATCGTTACATCTCCTGCGGGTGACTAGAAAAACTAAGTCCCAAACAAACCTTGAGGGGTCCCTATAATCCAGTACTCCCTCCATATACATACACATATATGTATACCTATTAGTCTACATACATTTCCGTAAGATCTCTTAAGGGCCCCCTGCTTTCAGAAACCCCCTCCTGTGTGTCTGGATTTGCCACGACTCAGCAACATCCCAAAGGCAGCACTGGTAGAAGGACTCCTGGCCCTGCTGTAGGGAATTGACCAAATGTCGCAGCATCCCATTGAAAGCATGC